CGCCGAGCCTTTAATTTTTATTTTTATTTTGAGACAGAGTCTCACTCTGTCACCCTGGGTGGAGTGCCATGGCATCATAGCTCATAGCCACCTCAAACTCTTGGGCTCAAGCGATCCTCTTGCCTCGGTCTCCCAGAGTGCTAGGATTACAGGTACGATTCACCACGCCCAGCCCCAGTGGTGTACATTTTGATGCATTTTTCTAGGGCTGGAGTCTTCAGTTTCCACTGGATTCATAAAGGGTCCGTTGTCCAAAAGAGATTCAGAGGCCCTGGTCAAAGTTACCTCCCTGGAGAGGGCACAAGTGGCTCTCTGGACCAAAAACAGACTTCTCAATTACAGCAAGCCACCACGAAGACTGAGCTGTGGCTGAATCAGTCATTTGGAATTTTGCCCAAAGCAGCCACTTGTCTCCGAAGTGTAGGTACTAGTTCTGGCTTTGGACAACTTTGCTGGCTGCCAAATAGACCTGTGGGAGGATGCATGCTATCTGGGAGGCATCTGGTTCAAAAGGCAGCCGGACTCAGGGGTTATTTCAGAATTTTATCCAGGGCAGCGTGAGGCAGAAGAGAAAGGTGTAGAAAGGATAGAGTGTATGTATGTTGAGAGAGGGGAGGGTTTGGAGATCAGCTTGCAATCACAGCTCTGCCATCAATTTGTTGTGTGACCTTGAGAAAGTTACTATCTCTCTCTGGTTCCCTGATTCTCTGTGTATAATGAGGACTTTGGGTGGCCCCAGGATTTCCTTAGTGAAATTTCCTTAATCCACGGAGATGGTGGCCATGGCCCTAAGACCCGATATTGTGTGACTTGTGAGGGTTTTCACAAACCATCATGGCCTGAACCTGGGCCAAAGGATTTTTTTTTTTTTTTTTTAGATAGAGTCTTACTTTGTTACCCTGGATAAGTGCTGTAGCGTCATAGCACCTCACAGCAACCTCAAACTCCTGGGCTCAAGCGGTCCTCCTGCCTCAGCCTCCTGAGTAAGTGGAACTACAGGTGCCCAGCATGTTGCCTGGCTATTTTTAGAGACAGAGGTCTCAATCTTGCTTAGGTTGGTCTTGAACTCCTGAGCTATCCACCCACCTCGACCTCCCAGAATGCTAGGATTACAGGTGTGAGCCACTGCACTGGGCTCCAGGTCAAAAGATTTAATTGAGATGGTGGCAAAGAAGTTCAGGTCCCC